CCAAAGTGCCGGATGCAGAGCGGCGAGGAGGAGCCCCCAACCCCCCCATCATGAGGGCTCTGCAGGGGCTGCCCCGACTCATCCCCCGTTCGGAGCAGTCGGTGCCGCTCCCGGTACCGCTGCCCGCAGCCCCACAGCCGCATCTCTACCCGATCGGTGCCCTTGGGGCGGCTCAGCCCCGACCAACGCAGCGGAGGGGTGTGTGTGTGTGTGTGTGTGTGTGTGTGTGTGTGTGTTGAACATATCCCCGGTGTGCCGGATCTGATGGGAATCATCTCGCCGGGTTCTCCCCGAAGCCGAGTTTTGCTTTTGATAAAGTCATCGGTTGGGCTGTCAGGAGCAGAACGAAGCCGAGCCCCGTACGCGCATCACCAGGCACCCTCCATACCATGCATACCACACACCATATACCCCCATGCCGTGTACCCGTGTACCTCGCATCTTATACCCATATCTGTACATCATGTATATTCGCTTTTTTTTTTTTTTTTTTTTTTTGCTTTTTTTTTTTTCTCTCTCTTTTTTTTCTCCAAAACCCGAGTTATTTCTGCTTGGTTGTTCGTTTTTTGGGAGATGATCGGCCAAAAACACCTTCTACCGCTTTAGCGCACACGGTCTCTCCCCTCCAGCAACCAGCCCCAATTCTCCCTCTTTAAAACACGACTCCAAAGCTCCATCCCTAGAAAGGATTTCGGGGCGAACTCAGAGCCCCCGTGACAGCTCAGCGATGCGGGGACAACCGAAGAGCGGGGATTTTTTGGCTCCCACCCCCCGGTGCCGTCCCGCCGGGGTTCCCCGCCCTCCGCTCCCGGCCGCAGTGCTGCTCTGCACCCCCGGCACCCGGCGGTGTTTCCTAACGGAGCGCGATCGGCCGCCGCAGAGCCGAACAAAGCCCATCTCCGGCGGTAGAAAAAGTCACTTTTGTCCGGAGGGGGGGGTGGTGGTGGTGGTGGAATTTTTTTTTGTAGGGAGCCGACGACAAACGAGGGCAGCGGGCGCGGGGCGGCGGGACGCAGCGGCACAGCGATACGGGGACGGAGGGTAAAAAGGATGAGGATATTCAGTTCTGAGCGCTCAGCGGACGGCCGAAACCCGCTCCTCCGATGGCATTCGGGTGGAAGGAGCGGGGCACCGTGGGAGGAAGGGGATTTTGCCCTCGTCCCCCCGCGCTGGAGCCCTGCAGCCCCACGGAAACGGCAGTGGGGGGAGGACAGTGCCAAAAGGACGGCAACGGAGCGCCCGAGGCGGGGATGAAGAGAGCGAATGAGTTTTCCCGGCCCATGGAAGACGGAGCTGGGCCCCAAAGCCCCCATAGAAGACCTCGAAGCCCCCAAAGGAGCGCGCATTGGAGGGGGAAAGGGGGGAGGGCCTGCACCCCAACAGCGATAAACTCCATAGCAAGGTCACTGGGGCCGAACTCCCACCGACCCCATAAATGGGGCTTGGGCTCAAAACCCATTCAGGGGCTGGTTGGAAGAGCACGGCCCCACACCGGTGGGGGGAGGCTGCCAGGACTCCCAGCTCCGGGAAGGCAGCTGTGGGGTACGGCTCATCCCCGGCACACACCGAGCGTGGACCCCCAAAACAAGAGGGAGGGCGGCCGAAGGCTGCGACCCCCCCAGGTCGGGGACGCTCCGTCCCCGTGCCCTTATTTTTTCTCTCTTTCTTTTTTTTTTTCCTTTTAAATTTTATTTCCCGAACCGCTCCATCCTTGCTGGGAACACCCCGTAATTGCCTTGCTTTGCCTCTTCTCCTCTCTCGTTATCGTTATTTACGGCCTTTTGGAGTTGCGCAAAGTTCCCTTCACGTTCAATTTCCAAGTTTGGGGCTTTTTCCTCTCCCCCCCCAGCCCCCCTTTCCCTTCTTTTTGTGTTCGCGTCCCTCCTTTTGTCCCCGCGCTCCGAGAGGCTGCGATGAAGGCGGCGGCCGCGGGGCCGTAATTCCGCCGCGGCGATGAATGGAGCTCCGCATAATGGAGGGGGGGAAACGACGACAACGGACAGCTTCGGAGCCGGGGGGGGGGGGGGTGGTGAAAAAACTGAGAAAAGTGAAAAAAATAATAATAATAATAAAAAGGAGAAAAGCGGGAAGAAAGGAAAAATAAATATGAGAAATCGGAAGAAATAGAAACAAACAATTCAAACGAACAATTCAGATAAAAAAAAAATAATAATAACATGAAATAACAGCGTTAAGAAAATAAGAATGAATGGAAAAGGAGGGGGGGTCCGGTGCCGGGGGCCGACCCGCCGCGCTCAATGGGAACGCCCCGTCCGGAGGCGGAGAGGAGGGGCCGTGGGAATAGAGGGCGTGGCCTCCGCGTTAGGCCCCGCCTCTCAGAGCCGCCTGCCCAATGGGCGGCGCTCTCGACGGGCACGTGGGGCGGGCCGTGTTCCCAGCCGGGCAAAATGTGAATGGGCGCGGGGGAGCGGGCGGGCAGAGGCAGCGCGGCGCGGGGCGGCGGGGGGCGGCCGGCCCCGATGTGCGGGCGGCGGCGGCCCCGCTCCGCCCCGGCTCGGCCCCACGCGTGGGCGCTGCGCGGCGCTGAGCTGCGGGAGCCGGAGCCCGAGCAAGAGGAGGAGGAAGAGGAGGAGGAGGAGGAAGAAGGTGGTCGCCGCTGCTCCTCCGCCGGCCCGGCATGAGCGCGGCTTTCCAGCCCTCGCTGATGATGATGCAGCGCCCGCTGGGAAGCAGCACGGCCTTCAGCATCGATTCGCTCATCGGCAGCCCCCCGCCGCCCGCCCCCGGCCACTTCGTCTACACCGGCTACCCCATGTTCATGCCGTACCGGCCCGTCGTGCTGCCCCCCCCCGCCGCCCGCCCTGCCGCAGGCCGCCCTGCAGCCTCCGCTGCCCCCCGCGCCGCCCCCGCCGCTGCCCGCATTGCCCGGAGCCTTCTGCCCTGGGCTGGCGCAGGGCATGGCTCTCACCTCCACGCTGATGGCCGCGCTGCCCGGCTCCTTCCCCGCCTCCCCGCCGCGCCCCGAGGCCGCCAGGAAGTTCGCCCCCCCGGGGAACTTCGACAAGGCCGAGGGATTGCCCCCCCCGGACGGCGGCGGCGGAGACGACGGCAAAACCGGGGGGGGACTGCTGCCCTTCCCCGCTGCCGACGCCGTGCACGCATCGCTGGGTGAGTGCGGGCCGAGGGGGGGGGGACGGGGACGTGTGGGGATGGACCCCTGGGCTGGGGGGGGGGGACCGGACTGCAGGGGCTCGGATGCGAGGGCGACGAGACTTCTTAATTTTCTCACTTCTCCCGGCCCGGAGACGGGAGGTTCGGAGCCCCTCGCTTTGAGTGAGCCGTTGGAATTCGGCGCTCTGAGGCCGGGGGTCGGTGGCTCTCTATTAATAAATTGGAGCATCTGAATCGGGTGTCCGGGCCCCGTGGTTCGCTGCCCGCGTTTCGATTCAGGCTTCGTAATCGTCGGGTGCCTGGAACGGGGCTTCGGAGCCCCTCGGTTCAGTACAGCCGTTGGAATTCGGGTTCCTGGGGCCGGGGGGTTCTCAGCCCTCGGTGACATCTAAACTCCGGACACGGGGCTTTGGGTCCTGGCCCTAACGGGGCTCTGTGCTCGGTTGCAGCCGGGGCCCTCCGCGGCGGCCCCAAAGACGATCCCAAAGCGGAGGAGGAGGCGAAGGGCCGCGAGGAGAACTTCTCCATGGACAGCGACCTCGACTACAGCTCCGACGAGAACGGCCCCGCGCCGGCGGCCCCGCGGGAGGAGGACTGTGGTACCGCGTTGGAGGAAAACCCCCCCAGCGCCGCCAACGCCGCCGCCAACGCCGCGGCCACGGGGAAGAACCGACGGCGACGGACGGCGTTCACCAGCGAGCAGCTGTTGGAGCTGGAGAAGGAGTTCCACTGCAAGAAGTACCTCTCGCTGACGGAGCGCTCGCAGATCGCTCACGCCTTGAAGCTGAGCGAGGTGCAGGTGAAGATCTGGTTCCAGAACCGGCGAGCCAAATGGAAGCGGGTGAAAGCGGGCAACGCCAGCTCCAAGGCGGGGGAGCCCTCTCGGAACCCCAAAATCGTGGTACCCATCCCGGTGCACGTCAGCCGCTTCGCCATCAGGAGTCAGCACCAGCAGCTGGAGCAGGCGCGGCCCTGAGCGCCGCTGGGGGGGCAAAAAGTTGACAAACGGGGTTTTCGCCGGACCCGCAATGAAAAGCGAAACGAACGACGGAAGCCAACCCTCCCCTCCCACATCCCCCCCCCCACACATTTCCCCCCCCCCCAAAAAAAAAATAACAGCCAACAAAGCAAAACAACCCAAACAAACACCTCCTTGCCTCCCCCCTTAAAATAAATCTAGAAGCGACGCGACCCCACCGGCGACCCACGAGTGATACGGCGGCAGCGAGCGGCAGAACTGAAGGCGGAACGCCGTACGGAGCGGGGACCGGGACCGCACCGCCCCGGGGTAACGGCGCTGGGGGAGCCGTCGGTGCGGGGCCGCCCCTCGCAAAGCCGTTTTGAGAGGGGAAAAAGAGAGAGAGAGAGAGAGAGGGGAGGGGGGGGGGGGGGGGGAGAGAACGGACGGACAGACGGACGGACAGACGGACACCAAGGAAAGCACGAATTCAAGCGTTGTGGTTTAATTTATTTCGATGTAGCCCGTTTCCTTCTAAGTTATGAAATTTAAGGAGCCAGCTCCCGTCTTGTGAATAAAAGCCGAGAAAGAAACAAAAAAGGGACACGCGCACACACACACGCACAAAATACCCGCACACCTCCCCTCGTGCCTCCCCCAACCTCACCCTTCGCCCCGGCTCGGGCGCAGCGTGCGGCGGTTGTTGGGTTTTTCGGCTTTTCGCCTTTTCTTTTCGGGTCCTCCCGGAGCGCCGGACGGAGACGCCTCCCCCTCCACCTCCCTGCGGGGTTCGTTGCGACCTCGGAGGTGGGGGGGGAATCGGGTGGGGGATGCGCTTTTATCCCTATTTCGCCTTTTTTGGGGGGATGGAAAAGAGAGAGAATTTGCTGGGAAAAAAAAAAAAAAAGTGAGAAAAAGGGAAAAAAATGAGGAAAAATTAATAAAGCAGCTCGGTGAGGAGGGAGCACGGGAGAGAAAAGGGGTTCTGCGGCGGCATCGCGCACTTCATTTTATTTTGTTGCGTTATGTTTTGTTTTGTTTTCCTATTTTTTCCCTTTTTTAACGGGACGGCCGCAGCACTTCGCTTCTTTCCCTTCATTTTGGGATCGTTCCCGTGTGGGGTTGGGACACGCGTGAGATCCCCTCGTGGGTCCCCTCCGCTCTTCCTTTCAATTCATTCCGTACGGTCGTTGTTACCGAGAATGGACGGAAGGGAATCGCGGCCCCCCCCCGGGGGTGTGGGGGCACTTTGGGCAGCGGTGAGGGGGTTGGGGAGGGGGGGGGGGGGGGGGGGCCCCTTCGCAGGGGAGGGGGGGGGGGGGCGGAGGGGCAGCCCCGGGCCGGGCCGGGGGAGGTAGGAGATAAACAACGCGGAGCTGATGGCTGTCATCATCGCCATCATCGCGGTTTCATTTGGCTGCCTAATGAGTCAGAGCGCGGGCAGAGAGAAAAATTGTCAATCGCCCGGGCTCTAATGAATTTTTTTGCAAATTGTAATCAAGCCAGGCCGTCTCAGCTCGCTGATTAATGAGACCCAGGAGGCCCGGCCAGCACCTCGGCTTTTTATTCCATCCCGTCCTCCCCGCACTAAATTAACAGCAACTTGTCTGAGCTTCAAATTAACTCCCAATGATTAATTCTGATGGGGGGGTCTGAAGAATAGCTCGTCCTAATAGGCGCTGGCCTCTGATGCTGTTTGAAATTAATACACTTCCCCTTTGGCTGCCGGCTTTAATCCAAGGTTGGGCTTTGACATCACTCTATTTGTTGTTCCAATAAATTCCTCTCGCATCTGCAGATCAAATAATTGTGCCGTGCGGGGAGCGCTGCCCCACGGCCCCGATACAGAGGGAAGGAGAGCTGCTGCCCCGAGAGCAGGGCTGTAGGACCCCCCCTATACGTGCCATATTATAGATTTTATATCGTATTTATGCTGCATCCATCAGCAGGAGGATGCCCTCTCTGCTGTTCTCCCTTAACGAAGCCGTCACTGCTTTTTGCTGCTATCCCCTCCTCTCCTTCCCCAAACCAGGAAGGGGTCCTCAACTCTTTTGGGTGCCCGGCTGCCTCCCCTCTTGTGTTTCTTTGCATGGACCTAATTGGTGTTGCTGTTTCAGTTGGGGCTCTGCGCCTTCTGCCTGCCGCCTCGGTGTGCAGGATGGGGGGGGGAGGGGGGGAGGGGAGGGGGGGGGGGGGCTATCCAGCCTGCAGGAGCCCCCGGGTGCCCACATGGGGCTGCAGAAGCTGCTGAGGGCATCAGAGCTGAGCAACCCCCCCTCCATCCCCAGGAGGTACGCAATGTGCCCTATGGGGGATCCCCCTGTGGGGTCAGCTGCCATGAATGGGGCTCAGTCCTATCCTCACCCACACCCCTTTCGGGCCGGCTAGCAGCAGTGGATGCAAAGCACTCCGTCTCCCTCGTAAAGCAGCCGGCACCCCAACGTGCCAAAGCAACACCGTATGCAGGAAGACAACCTGTATGAATTATAAATTGCCTCGCAAAGCCCGATTGCTGCTCCAAAACACTCAGAACTGTTTGTGTACAGGATGCAGTAGCGCAGAGATGGGGAAATCCCACCGGGCCCAGGACAAATTCCCTCCTAGAGGTTGGGGTCCTGCAGCCGAGCCCCCATGTCCCCTCCTGCCCCCCGGCCGCCCCTCGCTTGCTCTTTTCTCCCTCCTGCTACGCCCGGCCCATAGAGAGCCTTAATCTATTTATTTCGAGCCACTTCATCCTCTCTCCAGCTTTTGTCCCGGCCTCAGCCTCCGGCTTTGTGGCAGGGCCGCTGAGGTTCTCAAAGCCCCTTCCCCTATAGTTTGAGGTCTCCTTGCCTGCCTGAATTACAATGGATAAAACAGGATTACACTGACCCGATCCCATCGCGCCCTCCCTCCGGGTCTGCAAAGCCGCTCGCAGAACTTTCCTCCGGCTCTGAGCAGCCCCGTTCGGGCTCAGGAGCTGCACCAAGGGGCTGCGTTCCTAAAGGACGGAGGGATGGAGAGTTTGTGATGCTCCCATCCCATCAATTAACAGAGCGATAGGAGAACTCGGGGCTTGGGCTCTTCCGAGCGATGCTGCGGCTGTGGTCTGATGCCATCTATCAGGATGTTACCACCCCGAATAAGGGCTGGTTTTGAGGCACCCGGCTATATTCTTTATTTTTCCCACCGATGAATGAGCTCTGAAGCCCACAACTGCTCTTTCTCCCCCTCCCCAATTATTTTCATATTTCAACATTTCCAAAGCGGCAATAAGTTCCTGCGAAAGAAGGGTAATAGGAAGGCTCTCTAAGAGAAATTGTTAATTTGGGATTTATAAAGGACTTTCCTTAATGAATAATAGTTGAGATCGATCTGTCTTCCTGCCTCATTCTGCAAAGTAACATTTGTAAAGCGAGCTGATCCCAATTACTCCCTCTAATAACTGTCTCCATTCGGTGAGCGGTCTCCGAGGGACGGTGCAGAAAAGCCCCTCTCCCATAGTGCTGCCTTATTTGAGGTCTTCCAGGCCCTCATGCCCCGTGTTCCCCTTCTCCCTGCGTAGCTCAGCTCTCACACCCAGTGGGAGGGATGCTCAGTCCTGGGGCTGCACACCCCTGTGGGGCTACAGGGAGGGATGCTGCAGCCGAGAGTGGGTTTGGCCACGCTCAGAGCCTTCTCCGGCTGCTTTGCCATTTCTTCCCTTTCATCTCACCCCACACTTTCGCAAAATAAATACCCCCCCTTTGTAATGCCTTCGAGTGGCCAGAGGGAGCTGAGAAGGGGATGCTCCGGGTGCTGGAGATGGGGAAAATCCCATCATATTTGTTCACCTGGCATGAACCTCGGCACGGCAGCCAATAAATAAATTGGAACCATCTCCAGACCTGATTAGCTTGCTAATTAAGCTCAGTTACAGGGAAATCGGCAGTCCATCAGCCTGCCTGTTACCAGGTGGATGTGCGGAGCAATAGGCGAGGTACAGAGGAAGGGCTGCACCAAAATCTGCTCTCACAGCACCCAGAGGAGCTCACTCAGATGGGGCAGCTGACAGCCTCTGTGTCCCCATGGGGATGCAGCTACCCGTGCTCGTGCAAAGGAAGGCTCAGGTTGGATATTAGGAAGAATTTCTTCTCAGAAAGAGCCGTGATGCAGTGGCACAGCTGCCCAGGGAGTGGTGATGGGATCACCATCCATGGGGGTGTTCAGGAACCACGGGGACGTGGCACTGAGGGATGTGGGCAGTGGGCCTGCTCCTCCGATCCCTTTGGCTCTCCTCATCCTCTCTTTGGCCAACACAAGGAGCCTCCCTGGCTTAAAAACAAACAGATCCGGAAATGGAGGAGCGCAGATTGGTCAGGGCAGTATGCAAATAAATACGTGCTAATTGCTGGCAGCAGCGTTGCATGTCAAGTGCAGTTATTGCGGCCACATTTATTGGCCAATTAAGGGCTTTACTGGACATTAGGCGAGATAAATTACTGCCTGGTGGGTTTTCCAGTCCTATTGCTGATACAAAGTGGTTTGTGGTTTTCCTATGGCACGTCTGGAGGTTTCCCCAGCAGTAATTGCATTTCCCTCGGACGCCATGCAATCCCTTGCTGGTAAATCGTGCAAGCTGTGCACTGCAAAGCCACCTTCTGGGGGAAATTCTTCACTCAGAGGGTTGTGAGGCCCCAGCACTGCTGCCCAGAGAGCTGTGGGTTACCCTGGAGGTGCCCAAGGCCATGGATAGGGCCCCGGGCAGCCTGAGCTAGTGGGGGGCAACATCTGGAGGAAAGTACCTCATGGTGAGGATCTCTGATTGATTTGAGGCTCCTCTACCTGATTTTATGCAACTACAGGGGCTGCTCTGGAAGTAATGCCTCCCGTTTTATGGTGTCAGCCCACAGCGTCAGAGGTGGATGCTGGTCATACAGCAGTAGAGGCTGAACCTTCCCACTGCATCCCACGATGTTTTGTTGCCGTGTGATTGATAGCAGCAGAGGCTGACAGAATGGCACCTGACATGGAAATGCACGGGAAGCGAAGGTGTGTCA